CCCTCTGGAATGAGCTGCCCCCAGAGATCAGGGTGATCCCTGATCTCCCTTCCTTCCGCCGCGCCCTTAAGACATGGCTATTCCAACTTGCAGGACTGGCCTAGGGGAAAATTTTAATGGGGTTTTAAAGCAATTTTTAAATTAACTTGACCAAATTACTAATATTTGTTTTTACTTATGTTTTTAAATTTGTAGTTTTGGGGGATTAGTGTTTTATCTGGTTGTTAGCCGCCCTGAGTCCGTAAGGAGAAGGGCGGGATATAAATTAAATTAATAAATAAATAAAATAAAATAATAATAATAGTAATAAATAATAATAATAAAAGTTGTAAGGGACCTTGGAGGTCATCTAGTCCAACCCCCTGCTCGGGCAGGAACCCTATACCATTTGAGACAAATAATTGTCCAATCTCTTAAAAACTTCCAGTGTTGGAACATTCACAACTTCTAGAGGCAGGTTGTTCCACTGGTTAATTGTTCTAACTGTCAGGAATTGGATGGATGGATGGATGGATGGATGCAGATGTAGATAAATATACATTTGATATACATCTACATATACATGTGTGTATGTATATGTACGTATACACATGCATATATGAAAATTATGCTGGTTAGAGAATGAAGAGTCAAGGAGACTGATTCAATTTACTAAGATACATGTTTATAAAAATATATAGATAATGAGAAATGTGGGGTACAGAACGAGGATTGCAGCAGGTCAATTCTTTCACTCAATTTATTTGGATATAAATATATCTGTATATGACAAGAAATGCAGGGTAGAGAACGAGGATGCCAGCAGACTGATTGATTGATTCAATGTACATGGCTATATCTCTCTATATCCCTTTGTGTAGATGACGAGGAGTTCTGCGAGGCGGAGAGCGAGGACCGAGAGTCGCGTTGGGAGTGGTCCGGGAAAGGCGAGCCCGGCGTCCCCTGTTCTCCCAATCCGGAGGAAGCTTCTGAAACCCTGTACTGGAGCAGCGTGGAGAAGGCGGAGGGCAAATTCATCAATTCCCAGGGGACCTACGAGGACTTGGACGAGAGCGTCCTGCAGCCGAGCCTCTTCCCCAGCGAGCCAGACAACACCTGCCTGATTTGCCGCAAGGTCTTCCGCCGCCGTTCCAACCTCATCGCCCACGAGCGTACCCACTCCGGCGACCGGTGGTACAACTGCTCGGAGTGCGGGAAGAGCTTCGTCAGCCGGGCCGCCTTCCTCATCCACCAGCGGGTCCACACGGGGGAGAAGCCGTACAAGTGCTCTTACTGCGGGAAGGGCTTCAACACGGGCTCCAGCCTCACCCGCCACAAGCGCATTCACACGGGCGAGAAACCCTACAAGTGCCTGGATTGCGGGAAGAGGTTCAACGACTACTCCAACTTCATCGTCCACAAGCGCATTCACACGGGCGAGAAGCCCTACGAGTGCTCGGTTTGCGGGAAGAGGTTCAGCGATAACTCGAACTTTATCAAGCACCACCATTGAGAGGCCGCGTGACGGGCCGGTAGCGTTTTTTTGTGTCTTTTGGTTTTTTTTCCCCCTAGTTGATGAGAAACACGATAGAATTGCCGTTACGGCAGTCGAGCGATATCTATGGTCACACAAGCCTTTGTGCATATAGATATGTCAGAAGTGGGTTGACTTGAGGGGTTTGGGGGTCCTTCTTGGGTTGGGATGCAACTCTGAAAAGGCCCAAAAACTACTTCCATTTGTATCATTTCCTTTTACCACTCCTCTGAAGTACAGTTCCCACCACACTAACTGAGCTTTTCTGTCTGCAGTCTGCGAATGAGGCATTTCAGGCCCCGTTTAGTTGGCAAGACCAAGGCAATAACAGCAGAGA